AACGTCAAGAGTTCTATTTGGTCTTTTTGTTTGAGCTGCTATTTGAATATTCAAGTAAGGATATAAGTAGGACTGAAACTCATTAGAGAGTGGGGCTGGAGACACAGATTGGGGAATCATAGGCAGTCATGGAGACAGATAAGATACATTATGGAAGAAGACAACCAAAGGCCAAGATGTAGGTACTACAACATTTACAAATTGAGCAGACAGAAGGCACAAAAAAGGAGTCTGAGAGGGACTGGCTAGCAAGTAGGCAGAAAGCCAGAGAATGTGGTGATAGCAGCCAAGAGAGGATGGTTTTTCAAAGGTCAGGGATCCTGATGCCACTGAAGAATGGAGAAGCACAAAGACAGATAGATGAGTGACTACTACATTTCCCATCATGGATGTTGCCAGTAGCCTTGACAAAATGGTTTCCACCAGCGTGGGGGAGAGAAAGCTGACTAAAGTAGATTTGAGGGGGAAAAAAAAAACAGAATGTGGAAGGGTGAAGACTTTGACCAAGTTCTAAAAAGGGAACAGAGAAAGGAGATGGCAGTTGAGAATAGTGAGACAGCAGAGGAAAGCTTTTTATCCTAAGGTGGGAGCTAGAACTGTTTTGTAGGCTAGAAGAGGATGATCCAGTAGAGAAGGAAGGACTGATGATACAGAGAAGGGAGACAACTCAGAGCTGAATCCTTGAGAAGGTGAGAAGGGAAATGATCCTTTAGGTGCAGCTTGGACACATTATTTATAGTAACAGGATTGAGACTATATTTATATGTGTGTGTATGTGTGTGTGTGTGCGTGTATGTGTGTACATATACACAGACACACATACAGACACACTTTGGTTGGTGCATTTAGTGGAAGGAAAAGAAGAAGGTTCCGCCTAGATTGCTTATATTTTCTCATGAACCACAATCTTCCATTAAAAGGATAATGGAAAATGAGGAAAGGGCGCCTTAGGAAGTTTGAAGACAGTTGAGAAGATATAAAAGAGCCCATATTTTGTAGTCCTGCAACCCCCAAATATCAAATTGATATGCCTGATAAAAGAAATAGTCAATGTTATTATGAGAATACGATAATAGCTTCTCTTTTTTTTTTTCCTTTAAGGGAGTCGGCGGAAACAATATCTTTGTTTGTATGTGGTGCTGAGGATCGAACCCGGGTCGCACACATGCCAGGCGAGCGCGCTACCACTTGAGCCACATCCCCAGCCCCAATAATAGTTTCTCAAATGACATCTTTCTATCAGTAAACCATATCAGCTTGGACAGGGACCTCCCTAATTATCTAAGCCACCAAATAGCAAATAGCTCATTTATATTCCAAAGTCATAGAGGGACTGGTCAAAGTATTTGTTTGCTAAAGCACACATTTTATCTCTTTGTGAGTGTGTACCCTGCGAGCTGCTATTACTACATTATAACTAAAATGTATTGAAATACTCCATGTGCCAAGTACTGATAGGTTCTTTACATATGTTGTTCTTCAGTACTTTCAGCAACTAAATGAGCAGTTTACATCATTATTATCCCAGCTTTATAAATGATGAAGTTGAAGTTTACACAGCTAAATTATATTAATATTAGAGATCGTGAAATTGACCATGAGATGAGAAAGACAGAGAGTCAGCAATTACTAATCAGGCCATGTAGTTATGAATGGAGTGGCGTAAATAGGTGTAAAACCATATCCTAGTGAGGTATTCATGCTTGTAAACAGTTTTTTTCATATAGGGAAAAATCTATAAAACCAAAACAAAAATATAATGGTTGATACACATAAATGATCTGCTATAGAAAGTTAAAGTACTCAGACAGAAAGTCTAGTTGAGGCCAGGCACAGTGGCGCACACCTGTAATCGTAGCCATTTGGGAGGCTAAGGCAGGAGGGTCACAAGTTCACGGGCAGCTTCAGCAACTTAATGAGGCCCTAAGCAATTTAGCAAGACCCTATCTCAAAATAAAACATTAAAAAGGCTGGAAATGTAGCTCAGTGGTAAATCGCCCCTGGTTCAAACATCAGTACAAAAAAAGAGAGAGAGAGAAAGAAGAATAGAAGTAAAGAAAGTCTAGTTGAAAAACGGACTTTTAGAAAGCTCTCTTCACAAAACCAGCCGGTAAAATGTTTATCAGCTGTTTTTTTTGCAGCTGGTGGCAGAGTTGGTGAGCGGGGGAGTAATTTGCCAGTAACTTTCAGTGCAAATATTTCCACCATAGAGTTCAAGCTATTAATGTGACATCAAACAGGTCACCAAAATTCTTGAAAATTTACAACTTGGCTCTTGTGAGACAGTTCCAGCACACCTGTGGAAGCAGCTCAGGTGAATCCTGACACTACCAGCTCTCATGTGTCCTACAGTATATCTAACAAGGATAACTTTGGGGTTGTGGAACTTTGATTTGTCTGAGATTATAGCCCCCCTCCTCCCTTCCCATGGACCAAGTGAGTGAAATAAAATAAAAGGGAACCCCAAGCAAGAACTATACTGAATCTCATGTTAGAGTGAGGAATAGGCGGGATAGGCAATCTTATTTCAGTCCTTGTATTTTGTTTGGACTTTCTCTTTTTTTTCCCAAAGCATTGAAAAGATTGCATGAATAAGACATAATCAGATACCACAACAAACAAAAATTCCATACAGAGATGTCACATGGGTAGCTTGAACTCTATGGTGGAGTCTCAGAGTGGTCGCTTCCTGAGTTTCAATGTGTTTGTGTGATTCCAGGCCTATGGTCTTAAACAGTAGTTACATAGATAACATAACCCCAAGCAAGTTCATGAGAAGCTGATGTGGATTTATTGGATCATATAAGTGATTGAACTTCCTATTTGGAAAAAAAAAATTTTATGTATAGAGATTCAGCTCTCTGCCATTTTAAACAAAGGATTCATTGACCTTCTAGTTTCAAGTTTAGGAATGGTAATACCAAAGTAGTGCTTTCATAGAGTCATGGGTGATTGTTATGTGAACTCTCAGAACTATATCTTTCCAGTTTCATTTGTGATTCACGTCAGAACAGGTATGGTTTGGATTCCAAGGTTGAAACAAGCCTCCAGGGCAGAATCAAGTTTTCTTTCAGACCTATTTTCTGGATTTTTATTTTTTAAAGTCCGTGTTCCTGGTGTTATAGGAACACTGCAGTATTTTTGTTGCTCAAAGTAAAAATCTAGTCAATGGTATCAAAAATTGAGATTCTAGATAAATATCTCAAAGAAACAAGTGAAGTAGCAAAAAAAAAGAAAAATCCTTCAAAACAGGAGAAGTAAACAACATGAGAGTTTGTGACTGAGAAAATTTATTCAGTCATTAGATATTTACTGAGTACCTATGAAGTGCCACACATACTTCAGAATCTTTGAGTTTCATCATTATCTCCAAAGGAGTCAGAACACTGCTCACCCCTCTCCTCCATATTCCATATGACTATTTTCCTCATCTTCAAATGTCCCCTTTCTATTGAGTCCTACCTTGGCCTATTCTGCTTTCCTCCACCCCTGCCACTTGAGTTCCCCAAGTTTTTCCATATTACTGACAAACATCTTATTTTGACATACTACATAAACAGATTACATATAACACATCAGGAAGCAACAGGTGTCATTGTAGCTGGAACAAAATGAGAAAGAACAGGAAATGAGGAGGATGACCTGAGAGACATAAGGGAGGTCTGGGATATCCATCATGAATCACATAGTAGGCTATTGTATGAATTCAGGACTTTTCTCTGAGGGACATGAGAAACCACATTTTATAGTAATGGGGTAAAATTGGTGACCATCCTGGACGTGCAGCAGTGGAAAAGTGACTGGATTCTGGATATGCTTTGAAGATTGAACAAGCAGGAATTCCTGGTGGATTGGTATGAAATGTGTGTGTGTGTGTGTGTGTGTGTGTGCGATAGAGTCAGTTGTGAATCTGAGCATTGAATAGAATTGCCATCAACTGAGATGGGGAAGACTGTGGGTCGAGTAGGTTGTAGGGAAGGAATTTGGACAACTGGGAGCTTCAGTACTGGACATGTTTAGTATGAGACGTCTACTACATATCCGAGTAGCAGTTTAGATAAATCAATCTGGAAACCAAAAGTAGGGTCTGACATGGTGAAATACATTTGGATGTCATTAGCATATAGTTGATCTGAGATGGCATGAGGTCATCCAAGGAGGAAATATACAGAAAAGAGCCTGAGGACTGAGCTCTGAGCCACTTCAATATAAACAAGTTGGGAGAAGATAAAGAACCTACCAAGGAGATGGAGATGATGCATCTAGGGAAGAAAGAGGGAAACCAAGAGCATGGGGTCCTGGGAACCAGGTTAAGGAAGGACATAAGAAAGAGGACACGGTCGGCTCCATCAGTGCTGCCATCAGTGCAATGAAGACTCAAAATTACCATTGCCTTTGGTATCATGGAGGTCATTGGCCACCATGACCACAGGCAAATAGCATTGATAGGATAGTGGGTGTGGAAGTCCAACTAAGTTTGTCTTTCAGAAGAAATGGAGGAGACGAATTGAAGATTACAGTAATAGACAATTCCTTCAAGGAGTTTGTTCTGCAAAAGGGAATGAGGAAATGGGTGAAAGCTTTTCTAAGATGGGAGATAACAACAGAATGTCTTCAAATAAATTTTACATACTTAGCTCCACGCACACACACATCCCAATCTTAGCACTTTGATTATATTGTTTACAGGTCTCTACGTCAATAAATTCTGATAATAGATAAATTCTCCAGGACAGGGACTTTGTTTTATTCAACTTTATATACTATCCCAAAGTATTCATTTCCTGTCAGCTATAACAAATTACCACCAGTTTCGTAGCTTAAACAACACAGGTCTGAAAGTGAGCTATCTAACAGGTCTCACTGGAATAAAGGTATGGCAAAGTGCTCTTTTCCAGTTTCTAGAGGTTGCCCACATTCCTTGGTTCTATGTTCCTTAATCCGTCTTCAAAACCAGCATTGTTGCATCTCTGACCTTTTTTTTTTTTTTTTTTTCACAGCACATCCTCCTCTGACTCTGAACTCAGCTGGGAAGGATTCTCAGATTGTTAAGGAGGCATATAATTAGACGAGGCCTACCCAGATTATGCAGGATCATCTCTCCATCTCAAGGTTTTTTAATCCAATTGCATCTATAAAGGCTCTTTTGTCATATAAGGTAATATATTTGCAGGTCCTTGGGATTAATGTGTGAACATCCGTGGGGGTCATTAATTCTTCTTATCACATTCAGTGACTGACATTTAGCTAGACAAATGTTTGGAATTCCAACCCTCCACATGTTTCCTTATGGTATCAATCTGACTGCATTCCCAGGGCTAAATTCCTTAAAATTCCTTAAATCTGTATCTATGACAGCAGAAACTGTCTCACTTTGGTTCCTCCCTGTATTCCCAGCACTCAGCAGAAGGCATGGAGTGGGTACACAGTAAAGATTTATTGAATAGCTGAATGAAAAAATAAGTGAGTAAACCTATTCTTTCATGTGAGCTGCTATAGGAGAAATCTCTTTTGGGGCCTCAGCTGATAATATCCAACCCCTTCAAGGGAAAGGGGCTCCCTCTTCATGGACAGGGTCACTTTATCTTCCTTATCTTTTCTTCAATATTTGATTCTACCTTGAGCATATGCCTTCCCTTCAGTCCCTACTGAGCTTATGCCACCTGCTATATTAAGCCGTTAATGGCATTTCCATTAAAAGGACAGATGTTTACTTTTTAAATTTATTTTAATATATAATATATACGGTACAAAAAAGTTTTAAGTACAAAAGCAAATTTATTGACAAGCAAGCTGGCCTTCCTGTTCCAGCCACCCTGTTTCCTTCCAGAGGCAACATCTTCCACCAGTTGATTTGTTGGTTTGTTTTTGTTTGGGGGAAGGGGCCTAATCTAACAGGAATATGCTGAATGTACACATTTGTTATATAAAACGAAAGCATCCTGAATAAAAAAAAAATCTGACTTTACTTTTTATTTAACAATCTCAATCTTTCCAACAGCTCTTAGTGTGCCTGCCATTAAGTAGAGACGCAGCAATTTATTAAACCCCCTGGTCCTCCCGCGACCTCTCTGACTTTCTCAGTCCTTCTCTGGATCCTTCCTTTACTGGTTTGCTAGGGCTGCTGGCCACACCCTGTGGCTCACAACAAGGGGAGTGTATTGTCCTGAGGTTCTGGAGGCCAGCAATCTCAAATAGGCTTCTTAAAGTGGGAGGGTTTCAGGCCCCTGAGGCAGAGAGAATCTGACTGTCCTGGGTGCAAGAAAGCAGATGGAAGGAGCTGTAGTGTAGGTGTGGCACCTGGAAGACCAGATGTGTCACCAAACTAGAAGGCAGTGGAAGAAATTCAAATGCCTGAGAAGGGAAGCCCAAGGCAGCAGAAGGAAAACACATCCACGACTCTCCACAGCTGCCTCCACCCAACCTGTCCAGAAGCAGCTTGCCCCACTTCCCTAAGCACTTCCGCCACTCCTGCTGCAGGGTTTCCTCCCGGCTCCCACCCCTCAGGGCGACTGCACATTCCAGTGCCCTTGTTCACTTCCTCCTGCTTCCAGAGAAGCTTTTAAAACCATTGCCTACACCTTCTGTCCTGAGAACTTACCTGAGTTTGAGGTCCACTTACTGGTGCCTGCTACCTCTCTGGACAAGATTTCTTGGTCTTCTCTGAATTCCTTCTCTATTGGGTTGCTAGGGCTGCACGCCACACACTGTGTAGCTTACGACAGTGGAAATGTACTGTCTCACAATTCTTGAGGCCAGAAATCTAAAATCAAGGTGTTGGTAGAGCCACACTCTCCTGGCTGCTGTAGAATCCTTTCTTGCCTCTTGTCAGAGACTCTTGGTGATCGTGCCTTGCAGATGCGTAGCTCCAGTCTCTGCCTCCATCCTCACATGGTCACCTTCTCCCTGTGTGTCTCTACCTGATTTTTTCCAAGCACGTCTTCTCCTCTTCTTATTAGGACACCAGTCTCACTGGGTTAAAGGCCCAACCTACTCCATCGTGACTTCAGTTTAACTAATTACATCTGCAGTTACCATATTTCCAAACCAGAGCACGTTCACAGGTTCCAGGGGTTAGAATGTGAACGTACCTTGCAGGGGGCACAATTTAAGCTATGACACCATCCTATAAAACTGTTGTCCGCAAAGTGGGGTGAGACACCTCTGAGAACAAGATAATCTTTTGGGAAGGAAGAAGAAAATATCAAAAGTTCTATTTCTACTTATTTTTTTCCTTAAAGGATAAGAAATTAAACTTTCCTAACACTTCATATGTGCATTAATATGGTGACCTCTCTTGCATTCTGTTGTCAGAGCCCCACATCACGCCCTGAGAGAGTGGAAACTGAGGGACAGTGGGCTCTGTCTTCAGGGCAGAGGGCTCATGGTGGTGCCCAGCTTCATTGCCTCATACTGTAATTTATGTGCTTCAGGATATCAATAAAGTGGCTACTTTATGAACACAAGACTTTTAAATAGTAGACTCTTTATAAGACTTTGTACTGAGGAGAAGCATATCCATGAAAATACTTTAAAATCAGACTGAACTATGAAGTTACACTTTATTTTACAAAATTTTCTCATTTTTCTGGACTTTTTTCTGATGACAAATTCCTTTGAGAAACACAAAATATTTGAATATATCCTTTCAAGGTAAATGTTATATTTTAAGAATGAATGAGAAATACATTTTTTCCAGAAGGTATTCATGCTGAGGAGAGCACACTGAAAAAGGACATTTGGAAATATTTCCATTGTTGAGATGAAATAACCATGACTCTACCCAAAACTCTCATAGTCTTCCATTTCTGGCAATAAGGAAAATGAAATGACCTGAAAACCATGCTTCTAAAAACAGATAAAGATGTTGAAAAGAATGATCATTTTTAATGTATAATGCAGTTTCTAAGGAAATAAGAGCAATTCTCAGGGATCATAAATGAAGAAAGGAATATAGCCCAGAGCTGATGGTGCCGTAGCTGCAGTAGGAGACTGAGGACAGGACTCACCACTTTGGGCCACAGGAGGCAGGGAGCTGAGTCTTTAGTGACAGGATGCCCTGGAAAATATCACTCACCAGCAAAGACACCCTTGGGGAAGTGTCTCAGGTCTTCATGTGGGGAAAAAGGCCATCTCCACTGAGTGTTTTTAACCTATGCCTAGTCTCACATCATTTGGGGATTTGAAAAGATGTTAAGACGTGGACTATGCAAGACAAAGCCAAGACATTGTGTTAAAAACTGTTCTGAAGTCATTGACATCCTTGGCAGAAGCAAACTAAAACCAATCCAGAGAGCAACTCTCCCTCAAACTTGGTTTGGTATAATTCCTCCTCCTCCTCCTCCTCCTCCTTCTCCTCTTCTCCTTCTCCTTCTTCTTCTTCATTTATTTTGTTTTTAGCAGTTTTACGTTCACTGCAAAACTAAGAGGAAGGTTCAGAGCTTTCCTATGTATTCTCTGATCCCACACATGCCTCACCTCTCCCACCCTCAACAACCCACCAGAGTGGTACACTTGTTACAACTGATGAAACCACATTGACACATCATAATCACCTAAGGGCATAATTGGCACTAGACAGTGTACGTTCTGTGGGATACACACACACACACACACACACACACACACATATAATGGCACACAGTCCTCACTGTAATATCAGGCAGAGTAGCTTCCTCTGTGCTTTGCCTATTTATCTCTCCCCACCCTCTTATCCCTCTGCCCCTGGCAACTGCTGATCTTTTTGCAGTTTCCATAGTTCTCTTTTCCGGATTGCCATGTAGCTGAAATCATGTAGTACATAGCCTTTTCTGATTGACTTCATTTACTTAGTAATATGTATTTAATTTTCTTTCGTGTCTTTCAATGGAGGATTCTTCTTGAGATAGTTTTTAAATAGGTAAATTATTTTCATGGCTAAAAACCAGTTTAAAGGCCATAGTCCTTCAGGTTTAGAGGCTGTGATGCATGGACTAGAGTGGAGATGGAAACTGGAGATTTTGAAGGTATAATCAATGGGCTTTGATGGCTGATTTAAATGTGGTAGAAGTAGATAAGGAAGACTTCATACTTTTCAACTCGATTGCCTGAGTGAATACTGTTGTTTTTTATTTATTTTTCTTTTTACTGTATTATATTTTATTTATTTTGTTGTGATACTAGGGCTAGAAGCCAGGCCTTGCACATGCCAGGCAAGTACTCTGCCACTGAGCTGTTCCCCCCAACCACACACCTCCCCCATGCTCCCAGCAACAGTGTTGCTTTTTTTCACAAAGAAGGTATACAAGCAGGAAAACCAGTTTATGGGGTAAGAAAGGTTTGATTCCCTGTATGTTCAACTAGAGCTATTTGCAATGCTTCCACATCCAGCAGCCAGGAGGACAGGCAGGTCTGGAGCTGAAGATAAAAAGCTGATTGTTGTCAGTGTGTATAATGGTAATTTGAGCCATAGGAATGGCTAGGAAAGCTCAGGAAGTGGGCAGAGTGATATGAATCCTAGGACCGGAGAATGGGTGGAGAAACACAGGCCAGCAAAGAGTAAAGAGGAAAATCAACAAACTCCAGGGACACAGAGGTCAAATGTCAGTAAATATTAAGTGCAAGTGCTATTGACAGAAGTGGACAGCTACTTTCCTTCTAACTGTCACCCTTATTCAGCAAGGCTTCACCACACATTGAGAGTACTCCTGAGCCACACCTCTGACCAATCTTCATTTGTGAGAAAGCAAATAAAACCAACGTGCCCTGTGCAGCAAGTCTGTGTTTGCAGACTTGAGTGTAATTATTTGGGATATCTAATTGCTCTTCTTTCTGGGGATTTTAATATTTCAATTAAACAATGTGCAGAGCAGAAGTTGAATATTACATCAGCAAATTTTCTGTCCTAGCAAATGCTCAATCCACTGATAGGAGAACCACAGGCTCATCCAAACGATGGAAAAAGTCTGTATAATTATGTTTTCTCCAAGGAGGTTTAAGGGATATGGTGGTTTCATAGATCATGCTTGCTAATCTCTCTGACATCTATCCTCTGTGCATTACACAGCCATTGTCAACTGACCAGCTCAGTTTAAATTTAAGACTACCAAATTTGGGGCCAAGGAACCACTAGGTCTGTGTTCCTCATTCTGTAGCCACATCTTGGCCTGTTCACTTCTCAATTTATATACGACTTCAGTCCAGAGCTCAACATTCTTTTCAAGCTTTATGACCATTGCATGTCTTGGCCCTCTGGATCTTTGTCCTTCATATAAACACTTATCACATTTTCTCTGTCTCTCACCTGGTTTTTGATGATATGATACTTAGTTAAAGATTAACTTCTCACTTGATCATATTTCTCCTGTGCTCTACTTTCTATGTGGTTTGTTCCCCAAAGATTCACATACTAGAAGCTTGGTGCCTGATGTGGTGGTGTTGAGGTGGTATACTCTTTAAGAGATGGGACCTCCTGGGAGGCAATTGAATCTTTTAGAGGGATTAATACTTGTTTGTAAGAGTGTTCCAACTTCTTTTCTCATTGCATTTACTGTCTGTCTGTTCAAGTCATGGTAGAATAAATTTCATAATCTCTCTTCTGCTGTAGAGTTTAACCATGAAATTTCATTAAGCATCATAAATTTACTTTATTTCTTAAAGGCAATTGCCATATCTCTATAACCAGACCATAGGAACTGTACTTTATATCTCTATGGAGTCTAGTTCAGTGACCTGCCCGTGGATAGTGCTCAATGAATAGCTCTTAATCGATTGGTCCATTGGCATTACACATGTACAAAGGCATGTTAGTGGTAGTCCCTATACTTAGGAAAGATTTGGTGTAACTGAGGGAAACAGTGCAACTTAGACAGTTATGTGACAACACATGAAATGTCCGCAGACCTCTGATTCACGGTAAACAAAGCAACAAGTCAGTGGTTCCCAACTTTTGGACCTTGGGCCTCTTGTAATCTTTGGGGTTTACTAGGCTTTCCAAAGTCTGTATATTTTAAGATAACTCAGACATATCTCAGAAGGGCCATAAACTTATTTTTAAATGTTTCTATTGTGATCAGCAAAATGGCCTCTTAAAAGTCAGGATTTCCTGCTATCCCTTGTTTAATGTGAACTTTGACAATAGATGCTAAATGAACAATTATTGTACAGGTTCTGTGAACATATCTGGAAGTTAAAATTATCATATTCAAAAAGCATTATTCAATCCAGTGGTAGAGATATCCAGAATTTAGAAAAGAAAGTCAACACTTTGGCCTAAATGGATCAAACGGGGTTTTCATTTGTTTATTTATTTATTTTTTCCCTGAAAAATGGGGTTTGAACTTAGCTTTGAATAATGATTAAGTTTTTAACACAAAGGTTTGACCCATTTTTAGTGTCCCAATGTATAAAAAAAGGAGAAAGACTATAGTCTTCATGTCTATGTGCTACAATTCTATCCCTGATAGGTCATGATACACAAGATCAGAAGGCACATGGATGAATTGGAGTGTAGGTGAATGCAATATCAGGTTAATTAACTTCCTTTAAGAGCATCCAGAAAATTAACAACAACATGAGAAATTATTCATCCCAATAATGCATGCCAGTCAGCCAGGAACCTCTGAAACCTATTACATCAGGTTTTTAAAAAACATCTTCAAAGCATTGTAGACAACTGTGCAACACCAGCCACGCCCTCAACACTTAACAAGGCAACATGAAAACAAGAAAACCTGAATCTAAGGAATCACATATAAGAGGATGTGCCTTCAAATCAAGTCCAATCATTTTTGTTTATCATCAAACACGAAAGGAGATAAACTAGCAGTGACTTGCTTCTTAAGCAAGTTATTTCATGGGGGCGGCTTTGATTTGATAAAGTGAAGAGCTGGAAAAAAGAATCATTAGGGGCTCTAGAGCCATCTGTCCCCCAAGGAGCTGACAGGTGGTGCCACTGTTCTAGCCTTGTGTCCTAGGAGAAGTGGACAGAGGGAGTTGCCCACAAAGGTGGGCAGAGGAAGAGACGACCTCCCTATTAGATCTGGAGAAAGTCCCAAAAGGCTGTTGTTCCTACAATCCTTTCCTAAAAGCTCTTTTCTCTGCAAGAAGTGAAACATTACACTCTGCCTTTCTGACCTTTCCCTTTAGGCTAAAATCTGGCAGTGAACACATTTCTTTCTTTCTGTCTTTGAACTTGGGTT